CAAGTCTAGAGCCAGCCGTAAAAAGGGAGGAGTAAGTTGAGTTGTCTATTTTATCATGTTTCTTAGGAAACGTAAGATATCCAAGAATTATCACATTTTCCACCAAGAGGTTGAATTTATCATCAACATTCTTAAATTGAATGGTTTCCCTCTAAATTTCATTTTTAATATAAGGAAAACTGTTATAATATAAATTAGTTTCACCAGAGTCTGCCCCCTATCTGTCCCAAAGGATATAATATACATGAAATTGCCATATTTGGGTTCATTAAGCCATTGTTTTGGAAGAAAATTATGTAGGATTGTCCATAATAACTATACTGTAAAATTGAAAATTGTATACACAACTTCCACAAATATTGGCTTTTTTTTTCAAATTCAAAGACGAAATTACCACTCCTCTATGCTCTTCCATTGTACACAAGTTCTCGTGTGATAGCTGTAATGCTATCTATGTGGGTAAAACAACCCGCAATCTGTTTATGCGCATGGAAGAGCATAAAGGCTTCTCATACAGAAATAAGAATTTAAAGCTCTCAAGCCCTACAAAGTCTTCAATCAGAAAATCATCCTTTCTCTTATAACAACTTTGAAATTCTAGACTCATCCCAATATGATTTGGACCTTAACATTTTGGAAAGCCTTTGGATTTGGAAATCAAAACCAAACTTAAATGAATATCTCTCCTCCATTGATGTCGAAATTTTAATATAGTTCCCCTAGAATTGTTCACTCAAGTTTTCCTTTCGGACATTTTGCGTAGGCTGGGGCGCTCTGTCACTTGCCCGCTCAGAGGCCTTTCTTCCTTCATGGGATTCAGACGTGGAACGTTACTGATCAGCTCTCTCAGTAGTTTTTTGTTTAGAAATAATTATGGTTAATATTTTGTCTTATTGTTACCAAAATATTAATCAACATCCCTAGATTCGAGATAAGTGTGTAAAATTCGCAAGTTTTATATATATTATTTGCCGAGTTTGATCCTGCCGGTTTGTCCTGATGACGCCAGCGGCTTTGATCGTAATTTCGTCCCATTTTAGCTCAAATTCTTTCTCCATTAAATGTCATGTCATTGTAAAAGTTCCTTATAATATGTTTCAATTGCAATAATCTTGCATTTCAATAATGTGTTGTTTTGATTAGAATGATATGAATTTCCCATGTCTTTGTCATAGTTTACTCGATGTCTTAACTTTAAACCCTAGTAATTTTCTTGAACACCAAACTTTCCCTAAAATGTGTTTAGTCGTAATATTCTATTGCAATTCATTAATGTGTTATATTAAAATTGATGTTTACGATTTCTTGACTAGCATGATTGTTGTCTTATTTACATGATGGCTTCCTTTCATAGTCTAGCAATTTTTTCAATACTAAATCACTTTTCCAATTCACTTAGAGGATAGTTCTCTTGATATGTTTAATATTATTGATTAATTCAAGGTCAAATATGATTTTTTTTAAATTGTTGTATTAATCTATATAATTTTTCATAAACACTTGCATTTTATTATCTCGATATATAGTGTAAAGTCTTGATATTAGTGATTCGTATGTCCTTTTCATGCTTTTATAAATGCTATTAATGATATTATTTATCTTGACTGGTTTGTACATGTTTTTGTAAACTGAAGGATAATATTCCCTATATCCTTAGTTATTTTCTTCTCATCACTGAAGATGGGTGTTGAACACTCGAAATGTATGATTTTGACTTTTGAAGAATTGAATTTGTTTAATGAAGATACTAGTTTTGTTGGATTAAAGAAGAAAGATGATTGTTTTTCTATTAACACTGGTCGTGAAGTTCATTGCATGTCTCCGATTCCCAGCTGGAAGTTCCACGGCAACTTCTACACACACACACACACACACACACACACACACACACATATATATATATATATATATATATATATATATATATATATATATATATCATCATCATCATCAAGGGGGCTGACGCTGACAGGGGCGCATAGCTGCATCCACCCTTCTCTTCCACCTACGAGGATCCCTCATGGCTAGACGGCAGGCAGAGACTCGGCCCATTTGTAGTTCTTCACGGCAGGTTTGGTCGATCTGCCTAAGCCACGACTTCCTAGGTCGTCCCACAGGCCTCCTCCACCCAGGGTTGTCTCGAACAGAGATGACCTGATGGGCAGGATCATCCTGAGGAAAGCGAGCCAGGTGGCCGTATAGCCTGAGTTGGTGATCACGGATTGTGCAGATAACAGGTCCTGTGCCAGTCTCACGGTGCAACCGTTGGTTGGACACATGGTCCCGCCAACAGTACCCCATGATCCGGTGCAAGGACCTATTACAAAAGGCTTCAAGATGAGCCTCTAAGGCACAGGCCAATGTCCAGGTTTCGCAACCGTATAGCAAAACTGGCATTATCAGGGCCTTGAAAACCCATAGCTTGGTCCTTCTGCACAGGTACCGACATTTCCAAATACTCTTGTTGAGAGAGTTCATGACCCCTGCTGCCAGGCCAATCCGTCTGCTGACTTCGTGGTCTGACAGCCTAGAGTTATGAACTACACTACCAAGGTATGTAAAGCTCTCTGTGACTTCAATGTCCCTGCCGCAAGCATGTACCTACTGAACAGGTTCTCCTAACAAGTCCCCAAATTCCTGGACCTTGGTCTTGGTCCAGGAGACCTCTAGACCCAACGGTTTCACTTCATTGCTAAATGCATCCAGAGATGCCACTAGGGTTTCCAAAGACAGATAGAATGGCTACATCATTAGCAAAGTCAAGGTCTGTAACCTTGATATTGCCCAGTGTTGCTCCACAATGACTGAACAGTAGCTCTGCCCAGTATCCAGTCCATGCAAATGTTG